GACTCGAGGAACAGTTGAACGCGCTAGGAAAGGCAGAAAACATCAAGATGGCCGCATGAAGTCTGCCGTGTTGCTGGAAAATACGCTGAATAACACCCATGTTTCTATATCGACGAGCTCCGCAGTGGTATTAAGGCACGCTTTACGAGTTAAACTACTCGAATCTATTGGAGAAGTGCATGTCCAGTATTGCGTTCATTATACGATGGCGGTCTTTGATGGGAAGATGTTGAACTCGTTTACGTACGTTATAGAATACGTGAAAAAATAAACACATTAGCTTCTTGGATTCAGCAAACATGGGAACGGACTCGACAGCTAGGTACTGAGCATCATCAGCATCGCCCATTACTGCTGAGACTCGCAGCGCTTTTCCTCGTATTTCTTGTACTAAGTCTGCGAAGCTTTGAAAACATTCAGTGTATTCGGAGGCTGTTCTCCGGCTAACGACAAAAAATGCTCCCACTTGGTAGGCTCTAGACCTGTCCGTTAAGCCGCAGGTAATAACTGGATATCCGATATCGCTGAGCTTGAAGGTCGCATCAGCATGAAATTGACAGCATTCATCGCTAGAAAATAGCAAACAAGCATCTATCATTGCCAAAGACGAAATCCCAATAATGAACGAATCAGCATCACTCCCGGACCCGACTTAGGCATAACCTTCTCTGTCCAACTTAGATCCGAGCAAAAAAGCTGTGTTTGGTGACAAGCTAGGGCGGTAATTTCGTAATCGCACCAAATCCTGTATAGCTTTTCGTGAGTTTTTGGATCCTTGCTCACGTCGAATTCGCTTCAGTGCATTTCGAATCTGCTTTAGGTCTGGCCACCCACGGCTAGTCACGTGCATTTTCTCCTGCCTTTTCAGGTTTACCATAATGAGCCTCGGTGGTATCCCTATCTCATCCTGCGCGGCTAGGAACGTCTTCATAGCGAGTGTTATTCGAGGCTTGGGTGCTGCTGAGCAAGGAAAAACACCCCGAACGTGGCCATGATGATTGACCCAAATAGGCCATGTGTCTTGGACAGAGCAAGTGAACACTTTCCATAGGAGTAGACAATTACCGATACCACTACAGCTCCTGCTAGTGCACTGAAGTCGTCTTTCGGTCATTATGTGCTGACCTCCACAAAGCCGGCAAACGTCAAAGTCGCGTTTTAATAATACAGCTGAGCAGCACACCGAATCCTCGCAAAAGGCCTCAAATGCTTCTTGAGAGCTTTGTACAGAAAGCTGACGCCATCCCTCCATTGTTGTCTTCTCCCTCGTTTTTCCTTTTGCCGTTTTGAGGGAAACCCCTTCACTTGCGCTATAAATATGTGCATGTCATAGTTTTCTATGCTAGACCCTACTAATAACTGTTTTAGCCACGTTGCATAATACACTGATGGATTTATCTAAGCATAATTACGCCGGCTGGTCAGTATACTTGAACCCCGAATTGTATGATTAATCTCCATTCTGCGTAATTTGTATAATTTTACCCCGTCTGGTATGGACAGACCCCTTGTTTGTATATTCGGTATTCAAAATCTGTATATTCTGACACCCACCTCCATTGTGAGTCGCATTTCCAAGTCAACGCTGTTATTATCCTACGTACAGTCCAAAAGGCTTTAGTTCGCCAAGCAAAATGTGTGTCGTACACCACGCAAATGTTTACATTACTTAAGTTTGGCAGCTTATAAAATGATCGGTTTACATCAGATGATCACATGGAGCTGTAGCTGCTTGAAGCTCTTTTGGCCTAGAGCTATTTGAAGATGCTCCAAGTGGCAGCCCCAACTCCAAAAAATTGAGCTGTAGCTAGCTGGAGTATGGGCAGAAATAAAATTGAGATATCACGGTACTCCTTACTAAATCTCAGAGATGCCACTCCGCTTTGCAATGCGGTTGGACGTCAAGGTAGACGAGCTGAAGGTGTTCGTAACGGCCATGCTTGCGCTTGGGCTGGACTTCGGTGAAGTGCTTCATCATCTGGCTCGATTCATATGCATGCGAGCCATCAACACGTTTATAGCCGCTTGTGGCTTTTGTGCTCACTGTGCAGCCGCTGCCAGGCACGCTGAACGCTTTGCTGTGGCAGCAGGCAGTTTACCGTCGTTAAACCTCTCTCTTTGCCTCGGCCTGCGCCATCGTAGTTGCCTGCTTCTTTGCTGCTGGTTCTGCGTCTTGAACCCCTTCTGCAAAAGAATGCTTTGTAGCCCTCGTGGGCGGTCGGAATGGCGCTCGAACTCTAGACGTACTGTGTGCTGCATTGTGCTCCATGGTGCTACCAAGTGCGGAATGTGCAGTGGAGTGCGGAGTGTGGAATTCAAAGGAAACCAGGCCATCTTCAACGCGCTTTAGTGCGTAAGATCATAGAGGGTCCTGGTGTTCTGCTCCTTGGCGCAAATCGCTCTCTGAGATACTCCATGGAGCTTGCTTTTGGAACAAAGGGTTACGATGTACAGTTTCGGGCGCCTTAAGTACGGAAAATAGCTCCATAACCCCAAAATAGCTCCAGCAACTACAGTTCTCTAATAGTCCAGATTAGTTTTGCTAAATCAGTACAACCGTCGCTTTTACAAAGGCACTTATTAAATCAGGGTTGGAGGGGGCGTATCTTGTTGTCACTTTATAAGATTTTTTTAATGGGAGTGATTGTGTTCGTATAATATGTCCAATTGGCAAAATCATTTTTGGTATGTGAGCTACCCGATAGAACGCGTAAACGTGAGCTAGGGTGTGCTCGCGGCACTCTCCACCTGGAGGTGAATACTTTTCTCACTCCTCATTGGTCAGTTTAGGTCACCAACCTGAAGACATAAATCAGGCTTTGTCTCCACCTTCATTAGTTGGAGAGACCTGTAGAACTTAAAGTAAAATTAAAATTAAGGTTTAGCAATCATGGACGACTTTACGCGGTTGCGCTGATGATAACCCTTGTAGGTCATGCGGTGTCTCTAGCATCATGCGCTCGTCGAACCTGTTGCTGGTGCTCATTACTGTTTTTTCCTCGTCCGGAGGATATCGTGAGACGACGGTAGCCCTGGGGATGAAAAAGATATGGTGTAGTAGAACACACAAATAACGTCAGATGTGGATTCCTTAAACAAACCACAGCATATCGCCGAGTTAGGTCGGCGCTTGTAGGGCCTGCGCAGAGGGTGGCCCCGTCGGGGTTCGGCCCAGCCGAGACATACGAGTGGCTCGCTTCCACTGAGTTCCGACTAATCAAGTCAGAGCACTTCCGAGGCTCCGCCGACTTTGGCTCGGCTGAGTTTGCTCACAAACCCTATGCCCTACAACAAAGGATGGACGACGGCGCGTGAGCGCTTTTACAGGTCATCGAGCGCAGCGGCTTCTCATCTAGAGGTGTCACCCCACCGGGGCTATCCGACGTACCGGCCCGCTAAGTTCACGGGGCTTTCTTTCGCGCGTAGCGAGACTTTTGTCCTACCCGGACCGACCTAATCACTTGGCGCTACCAGACAATACCCTACCAGCCTCTCGAGTATCAACGGGCAGGCATAATCCAGCCCTATGCAGGGACTTACCGAAAGAGTGTACACGTGTCTTGAACTAGGAAAATTCTGCTCTGTTATCTTCTGGGAGCTTTTTCGGCTCCCCATTTTAATCCTATGCTTCCTTTACAAATATCTAGTAAAATGTAGTCGTTTCGAATTTCTACAGACCCTTCCGCTGGGTTCAGGCGACCGTTGAGTTCAGCGGCCTTCCGGATAGCATCATCCGGACAGAGCTCTGAATACTTACCGTGATACTTTGTTCCTAAGCTCTGGGGTACCAGACTGAGCCGATTCTTGGTCTAAAGTAGGTTTACGTACGACCGAATCTGAAAAACCCTACACCACAAATGCCCCGGTTATGATACGAGCCGAGCTGGCAAGTGTCTTAATCCTTTCATTTGGTTCTGCCACCGTTGGTTCATACTCGGCTAATGGCGTCTTGCGGTCCTCCATCACCTTCTTCGGTACGTTTACTGACGCTGCTGTTGCTCATCTGACAGCTCCTCCTCGTCTGTTTCTCCAGCACGACCCACGGCGCCACTCTTCTCCACCGACTCCCCGTCGAGGTGAAGGTGCGTCCGCTGAGTCAATTTCTCGGCCCGTTGGTACTCGTGGGGTCAGCGACCGGCACGATGCTGGGTTGGTCGACCTGGCAGCTTTTTATGGGTCTGACGGGGGGTCGGCGGAGTCTTGTCGAACGCGCCTTCCCGGTCCACCGAGCTTGCCGGGCGACACCACATCGGACACCAACAATCAGTCGAGCTCGGCTGCCCCAGTAAGTCTTGACTCCCTTACGACACTGGTCACCCTGCAAGGGTACGAACGCCGGGAAGGGTTTGACCTTCTTGGCGAGGCTTATGGCCTACGGGCTCACTCGCCCCGTGGAGCCTTCTGATCCTGCACAACGGCGAGCGGTCCTGCACGCTTCTACAGCTGAGGAGCTGCTGGAAATATTGAGTGATCACTACGCTGCTCTTGATTACTCCCCGATCCTCGGGGACCTCAGATCTGACCTTCAGACCACCCGAGTCGAGAATCGCGCGCTAAATCGGCGGTTAAACACCCTCGCTCTTGACAACGTTGACTTGTCGATCCAACTATCATCGGCACAGCGGCAGGTATCTCGACTGGAGGTTGCTACCACGCAGGTTATTAATCACCTTGCCTCCCTGCAAAAAGCCGTAGCTCTGAGTGAGGCAAAACTCGCTCGGGCTGTCGAAGCTGAGCAAGGCAAGGTTGAGGCTGCGTTGAGTCAGGCTCGGCTCAACCATCAGCAAGTCTTGGATCGAGACGCTGGGATCGCGACTCTCCTCCAGACCATCACCGAGAAGGACGCAGCGTATACAACGCTCCAGGGCATTGCTGCTAAACCGCAGGAGTCGGTGCAGCTGTACAGCTTGACCAGCAATCAACCCTTGCGGTACGCTCAGCTGGTGATCGCTGGTCAGTGGGCAGTGATTTTGAGGCAGAAGTGGATCATCCGCCGAAACGGTATTCTTCCGATGCATGATCCTCACATGGCCGCTGCTGCTGACGCCGGGTTGGATGTTCCAGGACTCGATCCGTCCAACCTTCGTCTGAACACCCGGTTGTGCCGCATCTTGGAGTCTCGCTTCCTCGAAGTTCTCGGCATCCCTGCTGGCGCGTCCCGACAATTATAGTTGATTGTTCATCCTCGTCGAGACGCCCCAGCGGTACTTACGGTGCCTGCTGCCGGACCAGCTGTTGACCCCAGTGTTCAACCACAGGTTTCCGCGTCTTCAGAGGTTCCAGCTTCTTCTATGACACTTCGATGACCTCGGCTGCGGGTCTTGCGAGCCCAGTGATGGCTGTGAGCCAGCCCACGACGACTCTCACTCAGCTTCGTCGGGCTCCGTTGGCCGACTTGACACCTACGCAACGGCTTCGCCGTTATGCGAGCCCGAAGTCCCCCACTCCTGCTGGTCCTCGTAACCGCTCGCCGTCGCTGCCTCCGCCGCAGTCGTGCACTTGTCCACTTCCAGGGGAAGAGGGACACGACGCCGTCAGTGCGCTTCTGTGCTCGAGTTCTCCTCAGGTGACCATATCCGACAGAGAGCGATCCCTCTCGGGTAAGTCTCAACGCCGGACTCGGTGGCAGAAGGTTCGTCACCTTCAGTTGAGTTCCCCTACACAGCCAGCCGTCTCAACTCGCTCGGAAGGCGAGGATGAAACTTCGAGCGAAGCCGAGTTCGAGTTTGACATGTCTATGTCTGCCGACGATACAGTTCCTGCGTCTGGTTCGTCGACTCTGGTGGGGCCTCCGCCTTCTGGACATATGCTGACGTCGTCAGTCACGACTACCCAACCATTGTCGGTGGCTTCTTCCAATGTCACAGCCTTACTGTCGTTGAGTTCTGGTTTATCTTCTTCCGGATCTAGACATTCTCCGGCGACCCGACCGCCTAGCCCGACCTCAGGTGGATCAGCTGCTCAGCCTGTCACGGTTGCGAGGGTTTGCACGCATGTCTCGAAGTCTCCTAGCTCAGCCGATCTGCCCCAGTCGAGCGATCCACCAAGCGTCGCGTCAAGGGGGAGCTGCGCACACCTGGCTGTCGTCTAGTTCCCGGTCATCTCACGTCTTGG